CCCCTCACACACGTGCATTCATACAACAACATAAACATGAGACTAGAAGGAAACAGAGGAACTGTCCACCGTGACAGTACCCCTCTCCCTAAGAACGCCTCTGGCGTTCTCAGACTCCCTTACCTGTCGATTGTAATCATCGATAAGAGAGTGATCCAGAATGTCTCTAGCAGGAACCCAACTTCTCTCCTCCGGACCTAACCTTCCAGTCCCACCAAGTACTGGAATCCGCGTCCCCTCCGTCTAGAATCCAGAATGCGATTGACCGAATAGGATGGTTCCCCATCTACGAGTCGCGGCGTGGGGGGAACCGGACTGGCGGATTAATGCGAGCATAAAACATGGCTTGACTTTGGAAACATGAACACGGATGAATTCTCTTGTACGCAAGAGGAAGTTGAAGGCGGACTTGCCACCGGACTAACGATCTTGGTAAACAGCAAATGGGCCAATAAATTTGGGAGCAAGTTTATTCGAACGGATCGGAGAGGAATGTTCTTGGTAGGAAAGCCACACTTTGGAACGATGACGTATACGGGAGGCTTCCGCCGGTGGCGATCGGCTTTTGCCTTGGTGCGTGCTCCCACTTGGAGTAGAGTCTCACGGGCTCTAGTCCAAGTGTCGATGACACCTCTGGATGAAGACGTGGGCGGGAGGGGACCGCGACTTTGAGATTCCAGACTGGGAAAGATTGGTGGCTGGTAATTCCTACACTACACTCAAACGGAGATAGGCCCGTAGATGACACTGGTAACGTATTGTGGGCGTACTCCACCATTGACAGTTGCTGACTCCAAGAGGAAGGGTTCTTGGAAACCATACATCGCAACGTTCTTTCCAAATCTTGGTTGGCTCTCTCAGTTTGACCATTGCTCTGAGGATGAAACCCAGAGGATAGGCTAACAGTCGCCCCCAGTAATCTACAAAATTCTCGCCAAAATTTGGACACAAATTGGGGACCCCTGTCGGAAACCACGTCCATCGGGAGGCCATGTAACCGAAAGACGTGATCTACGATCGTAACCGCTGTCTCCTTAGCTGAAGGTAATTTGGGTAAGGGGATGAAATGTGCTGCCTTAAAATCACTGTGTTACCCTGAGAGGGTGGGAGGGCGGTAATGAAATCTAGAGCGATATGGGACCAGGGTCTCGAAGGCACCGGCAGCGGCTGAAGTAACCCATCTGGAGGTTGATTGGAAGACTTACCAATAGCACAAACTGAACAAGCCAAAACAAAATCGTGAATGTCGCGAGCCATACGTGGCCACCAAAACCGTTGCTTGACTGAAAAACCAGTGCGAGTAACTCCTGGATGACAGGCTACGTTGGAACTGTGACCCCACTGGATAACGTCAGACCGTAATCCCTCCGGCACAAACAAACGATTCGGTGGGCAACCGGGCGGAGGCGTTACCCCTTCTAAGGCTCTCTTGACCTTCGCTTCGATCTCCCATGCGAGTGTTGAAACAAATATGTTTCGGGTAAAATACACTCGGAGTAGACGGTGCGATCGGAAAAATCAAATATGCGAGATAATGCGTCCGGTTTTGATGTTCTTGGAACCCAGACGGTAGGAGAGAGTGAAATCAAAACGACCGAAAAAAAGTGCCCACCGAGCCTGCCTGGAGTTCAATCTTTTGGCAGTTCTAATGTATTCAAGGTTCTTGTGATCGGTCCAGACGATAAAAGGTACCCCCGACCCTTCTAACCAGTGGCGCCACTCTTCCAACGCCAACTTGACTGCCAACAACTCTCTGTTACCAATGTCATAATTGCGTTCGGCAGGAGATAAACGATGTGAAAAAAACGCACAAGGATGCATCTTGTCATCCACAGGTGAACGCTGGGATAACACCGCTCCTACTCCCACCTCTGACGCGTCGACCTCCACCACGAACTGACGTGATGAATCAGGGGTTATCAAGATTGGAGCTGAAACAAAGCAGCTTTTCAGTTTAGCGAACACAGCCTCGGCTGAGTCGGACCACCTGAACGCAGTTCGGGGGGAGGTCAAGGCAGTCAGAGGCGCGACTAGCTGGCTGAAATTGCGAATGAAACGCCGGTAAAAATTGGCGAACCCCAGAAACCTCAACAGGGCCTTGCGTGAATCTGGGCTTGGCCAATCCACCACAGCCTTGATCTTCTCAGGGTCCATCCGCATCCCCTCAGACGACACGATGTATCCTAGAAAGGGAACAGACTGTGCATGAAAATCGCATTTCTCCGCCTTGACAAAAAGCCCATTCTCTAGCAGCCTCTGAAGCACTCGACGGACGTGCTGCACATGCTCCTGGAGAGACGAAGAAAAAATCAATATGTCGTCCAGGTAGACATATATGAACTGATCGACCATGTCTCGCAGCACGTCATTGACCAGTGCCTGGAAAACTGCTGGGGAGTTGGACAATCCGAACGGCATGACCAAATATTCAAAGTGCCCCCTAGGGGTGTTAAAAGCAGTTTTCCATTCATCTCCCTCCCTAATGCTAACCAAATGATAAGCGTTACGTAAGTCCAGTTTCGTGAAGATAGATGCTCCCTGCAACCTCTCGAAGGCTGAAGACATCAACGGCAAAGAATAAGTATTCTTTACCGTGATGTTATTCAACCCTTGGTAATCAATGCAAGGTCGCAGCGATCCATTCTTCTTCCCCACAAAAAAGAACCCCGCCCCCGCTGGAGAAGAGGAAGGGCGAATGAACTTGGCTGCTAGAGAATCAGAAATATATTTCTCCATAGCCTCTCTTTCAGGAATCGAAAGTGAATATAACTTGCCTTTAGGCGGAGACTTACCTGGCAGTAAATCTATAGCACAGTCATAGGGACGATGCGGAGGAAGAGAAGCAGCACGAGACTTACTGAACACTTCCTTCAGATCCAGATACTCCGCGGGCACGTTAGACAGATCCCCTGCTTCCTCCTGTAATACAGAAACAGGTACAGACGAACAAGCAGGCACAAGACAAGACTTATGACATTCCTTATTCCACTCCAGCACAGCTTTATGAATCCAGTCCACACGGGGGTTGTGTTTAATGAGCCACGGATGTCCAAGAACAACGGGTGCCAGGGGTGAGTCCAAAATAAGAAAACAAATAGTCTCGGTGTGGTTGCCAGAGGTGATGAGTGTGATGTCTTCAGTAGTGTGTGAGATGGTGGGGAGTTCTTGACCATTTAAAGCGTGAACATGAAATACGGTGGGCGAGGGGTCGGAGGGGAATCTGAAAGGTGCGTGCAAAATTAGAATCCATAAAATTACCCCTCTGCCCCGGAGTCCAGTAGTGCAAGACAGTTGTGCTGGTTGGTTGACCATCTCAGTCTTACCGGGAGGAGGGTGGATGTAGATGTTGCTGATGAGGTCTTCCTGGCGTTCTCTGAATGCTGTGATGTACGAATTCCTCGATGGATGATGCTGATGCACTCGCTGCTCCCATTTGACGGTCAGATCGTTCTGTCATGGTGCCATATATCACAGGAAGCAATAGCGAGTGAACAGTAATTTATTATGAACTCAGTCCAATGCAGTAGCCAGGAAACACGGTGACGCAGGGACTTCGATGGTCAACCCAAAGATGTGAAGACAGACGGTGATAATCCACAGGTGAGACGAAGAACAAATACTCAAAGCACGATCAAACTCCACGGAACACGAGACGATCAGGAACCAGGACAAGGACACACCAAACACCAAACAACGATCTGACAAAGATGAGAGAACAGTGGTGAGTATATATGCATGGTGGTGATCGACTGCAGCTGGTGATGATTGATGATGAGCAGCTGGAGTGGATCAGGTAATGCCACACAGACACGCCCCTCACACACGTGCATTCATACAACAACATAAACACGAGACTAGAAGGAAACAGAGGAACTGTCCACCGTGACATGGTGATGTCTGGATAGGCATGATATTAAATAGCTGTAATAAACTACTGTTGCTAACATATTTATTCCGGTCCAGGTTTATATAAGCCTATTTATTCATTGATTTTTCTTCTTCTAACGTGACTCTGGTATAACGTTAGTGCTGCATATTACCGTTCTAAAAGCTTGGCTTTTATTTTGATAGGCTATATTTACTATTACTTCCGGGTCACGTGACCAACCTGTCCGTGTTTTAATGTAGATCTTCAAACGGAAAAATGGAAAAAGAAATTTCAAAAAAACAAAATCGGACCGTTATTTGATTTTGTTTTTTTCGTTTTTGGATTCAGAACCAAAAACGGGAAAACGGCTCTTTTTTTACGGTTTCTTTGTTTTTGGTTTGAAACGACAAACGAAAAAAGGGTGGTTTATCGTTATTTGTTTTTTGTTTCAAACGAAAAAACAAACTATCAAAACGTACACGGACCGTTTTCCCGTTCTTGCACAGAAATCAGAAAAACACCTTGAAAAACACAGAAAAACACAATTTTCCCCTGTGGGTGGGGCTACATCTGTACGTTTTGATAGTTTGTTTTCCAGTTTAACACGAAATAAGCAGAAACGAGAAAATGGCTCGTTTATTCGTTTTTTAGTTCAAAGACAAAAAAACTAATAAATGACTTAAATTCGTTTTCTACACGTGGGCGGTCCTGAAACGCCCCCTTCCGCCGATTGGTCAAGCAAATCTGAGCATGTAATGTCATCAGCCGTCGCTCTGGTCTGTTCAACAAAATAATAGTCCTAAAAAATAAAATAAAAAATATAGCTGCGAGCAGCGATGGCGGGCCCAAGCCGGAGGCACCGCAACCCCGGTTCCTTTAGTTACCTAAAGGCACCCGGGTGGCGGTGGCGAAGGCTTTGGCCCTTTCATGATTAAATGTTAAAACGGCTTGCCATACTCTGTCATTTCGAGTAGTCACAATTATGTTACAGATATCTTAAATGATAATACAAACTATCCAAAGTGTAACGACTAGACAGAAAGACGTTGTTGATATCTACAATGTTAATTCCGGACAGGCAAACTTAGCTTTTAAATGTTAAAAGGGCTTGCCATACAGGGACGTAGGCTCAGAGAGAGGCTCACCATATTCAGACCAAAATATCTGACTTCCTCTTGGTCCGAGCTAATGACTATGTATTAGAAAGTTGTACGGCTTGAGGAGCACAATACCGATTTTTGTAACTGTAGATAAAACTAACAACCCCACTTTTAAGTATATATATGGTGCCTTTAGTGTTATTCTGCACGACGTGCAAAAACTTAACCCCCGCTTTTTTAAGTATATATATATATATATATATATATAAAGAGGGTTATTCTGCACGACGTGCAAAAACTTAACCTCCGCATTGACTGTCGAAGAGAAGTGTGCAGAAGAGCTTGCATCAGTGAGGGCTTTGCAAAATATATATACATACAAACACACACACACACAAATATAAATGAGGTTAGTGTTTTACAATATTAAGGAAAGCAAATGTATTGAAATATAGCACATTAATTTTAAATTCATTCAGCTTCAATTACCAATTTGTAGTTTACCAATTTATCTTACGTTTATTTAAAGCAAACTATACATTTAAAAGATTAGGGTTATATGCATATTTTGTCATTTAAAAAAATACAAAATTGTTATGCAAAAAGATAAGGACTTGCAGAAAAAATCTACAGTCAGCAACACACACACACACACACACATAAACGCAGACACCAGCCACCCCCCCCCCTCCCTCTTCCCCACACAGACACTGATAGAGACAAGATACACATCCAAACTGCAATATCTGACTTTCTTTTGGTCTGAGCTTCTTACTGTTAATTAGAAAGTTGATCGGCTTGACAAGAACAATATACGTGGCATGTTTTGTAACTGTAGGTAAAACGAGCAAAGTTAACACATTTTATGTGTCCTTTTTTAGTCATAAAATTATTTTCCTCGCCACGGCCAAACCGTTCGAGATATCAAAAATCCGTCCGGAATTGAGCATCCTCAATGTCTTGACTTCATGCACACCGAGTATGGTGGTGATTGGTAAACACATGCGTTGTAATTTGATGTATTTCTCCTAGGAGATTTATTCAAACAACACATAATTCCCAACTTCCATTTGAACTGTCTTAAAACTTAGAGCAGAGATGGGCGCAGGTCACGCAAGTCTCAAGTAAGTCTCAAGTCTTAACCGTCAAGTCTCAAGTAAGTCCCAAGTATTTTTTTTTTTGGGGGGGGGGGGCAAGTCAAGTCAAGTCACAGGCATGTCAAGTCAAGTCAAGTCTTGTAGTAGGTTAAGTCAAGTGCAAGTCAAGTCACCTTATTATTTTAATTTTACATGCAGAATCTGATCTTAATAAAATGAAAAGACAAGATAAGTATTTGCCAGTAAATTACAATAATTTGCATTGTAAATACTCATGTTCAGTAAAATACACCATGGAATCAAACAAAATTGTAACTTCATAAAATTATTTATTTTTCACTTCTGCCAACAGTGTGTTTGAAATGTTTTAAATTTTCAACATTGAGTCCATAAAACAAATAACAGCTTAACATCCTACAGACTCTCTGAACACCTTCCTCTCTCTCAAACACAGTTTACAAACAATATTAAACTTTGTTACATTTCTCCTCTCTCTCTCTCTCTCTCTCTCTCTCTCTCTCTCTCTCTCTCTCTCTCTCTCTCTCTCTCTCTCTCTCTCTCACACACACAGTGGCGGTTCTAGACCATTTCAACTGGGGGGGCCAAGCTGGGGCCAGTTGTACTGTTAGAGGGGCCAGTTACATTTAGACCTTATCATTTTCTGCACTGCACTGAAGGCATAAATAAGCAAAATACCATGTTTATAATTATCCAACAATTTGCATTTCCATTATATTTTTACATTTGCATTACATATATCAGTCTGTATTTGAATTTCCATTTTATTTTTTTACATTGAATATACAGTATGTATATATATATATATATATATAATTTTTACAAATTAATCTACGATTTTTGTGGGTTTTTTTTTTTTTTTTTTTTTTGCAAAAAGATCAGCAAATTATCCTCTAAACTGGCCTTTTTAGGGGGCTTTCCTCTCAGGGTGAATGAGCTTTTTTATAATTGTTTTTTTCCTGACATCTTTGAAAGACAGAAGCAATAATTAATGCATCCTTGGCCAGGATATAATTATAAAATATGACATGATTTTAAAAGTGACCTATAAAATCGACTATGCAATACACTTTAATTTATCTAGTGCTAATAAAATTATTAAGCCTATTTGGAGAGAGAGATGTTTTAAAATCGACTATGCATTACACTTTAATTTATCTAGTGCTAATAAAATTATTAAGCCTATTTGGAGAGAGAGATGTTTATAATGTGACAATATGTCAGTCATCGTGATTCGTGTAATAAGATGACTAGGCCTAGACTACTTGTTCTGAGCAGGTGTTGTCAGTGAACAGGCTGTAAAACTGTTGTCTAAGTTACAGACTGATACTAATTAAATGGGAAACGAATCGATTACCTAACGTAACCTCGGTTCTCTCTAGATGAGGGAACGAGCATTGCGTAAGCTAGCTTACGCTACGGGAAAGATTCATCTTACATCAGTCAAGTTGTCATAGTTTTTGTCAAACAAGTTGTGAATTTGTTGTAACATTAAAACAGGAGATCATGACTTACTCCGTGCTCCAAGTGATGTTCGGAGCTCCAGTGATTAGTTTCATCTGTGGGACGGGTGAAGAAACTTTCGGAAGATGTTGTAACAGAATCATATGAACAATTCCAGGATATGCTTTTTTTCATTGGTTGTTGCGTTAAATTTTACCCAGATACAATAGTGCCCTTTTCTGATTGGCTATTAAGTAGCACTTCTCTTTTTTTGATTGGCTGATGCGTAGCAGGGTCGACTGCTGAACTCCAGGCGAGACGCGCTTGATTCTCACGTGAGAGCGGCGCGGCCAGAGAAATTGCGTATATTAAATATATTATTAATAGTTTTTCCGCATGAGAAATACAATGTGTGACGGGAGTGTGAGACAAAAGACTGAAACGAGTGACTGTCATGCTCAATGCGTGACACACTATAAAAAAAATATTTCACACTGACTCCACATTTAGGGAGGCCACAAGGGGGTCCAAGCTTGTTGTCGCAGGGGCACTGGCCCCCCGAGGCCCCCGCCTAGAACCGCCACTGCTCACACACACACACACACACACACACACTTTCTCTCTCTCTCAAGAAGCAAAAACATGACTGATAAAGGTTGTATCAGCGATGGCGGGGTAACATCACTTAACATCACGAGTGATATTCCCTTAGGCCACGCCCCCTTGTCTCCCCAAAGTATTATAAGCAATCATGCGCATCCCGTGTGCAGAATGATGCACTTGAAGCAACACCAAGTCACAGCACGCAACGCTTCACATTGAAAAGAACATAGCGAAGGGATGGTATCTATAATCTATGCTTAGTAGGGCTGCACGATTTGGGAAAATGTCATATTGCCATTATTGAGCCAATATTGCAATTGCGATTTGC